GCCTCCCAGGGGGAAGCCTGGGCCCGAGAAACTCCGGGGCTGTTTATGTTCGGCTTCCGCTGCCCCGCCTCCCGGTGCGCGACGCCAGGCGCAGATGTGACGTCACTGCGCGGAGGCCCAGGGACGGGCGCGTGAATCCGGATCCGGAGCTGAGACCCGCTGAGCTCAGCGCCCTCTGGTGGCCACTTCGGGGAAAGCCGCGTGTGCCCATGCCTGCATGGGGTCCGGCACTCGGGAATATTTATTCCGGCTCCGGGTCCATAGCCATTCGTTCACCCACCATGCATTCATGCAACAAGTTTACATCTCGCATCTCTTCTGCGGAGCATCTCCTAGGTCACGCACTCCCCAAGGCCGGGACTCGCTCTCGGTGGCTCTCAGCACATAGTCTATGCATCTATTCATTAAGCTGAGCCCCTATAACTAGTATGTGCTAGGTACTGGGGACTCCGTGAAAAACCAGAAGATCCGGCTTCTGTTCTCATGAAACATAGTGCTTGTATTTAAAAGTAACAGCTACTAAAATAATAATAATAATAATAATCTCTCTATATATATATGTAAAAGGCTAATATGCAAAGTGTCCCTCAGGAGTTCGACCTGGAGACCAGGAGTTTGATTGCTCGCTATGACGTGTGCTGACCACCAGGGGACCGCGTGGAATGAAGGAAGGCCTTGGCCAGCAACCAGAAGGCCCTGGTTGACCCTAATCGCTGGCCAGCCTAGGGACCCCACCCATGCACAAATTTCGTGCAACGGGCCTCTAGTAATAATAATAATAAATAACAGCTACTATTTATCAAGTGTGGGTTGCTTTGATCACAGGCACTATGGGGAAAACTTCACACATGGAACTCTCACACAATCCTAAGGTAGTTGTGATGATCAGACCCATTTTACAGAGGTGCAAACAGAGTCACAAGAGGCTAAGTTACTTGCCCCAAATCACAGTTGTAAGGTGTGGAGCAGGCCATCTGACTCTAGGTGGTGCCCTCCACACTGCACCTTATCACCATCAATTGTGTGGTATGAGTCAGGGTGTATATGGGAAGAGGCTGGGCTGCCAAATCTTCAGTGTAAGCCCTATGAGGAGGGGGCCTTGTCTGTGCTGGCTTCCTGCTGCATTCCAGTGCTTGGCACTCACCCCGTATTTACTGAAAGCAGTCGTTCATGAATGGGGGTGCTGATGTTGCCTGGTTCAGGGGCAAAGGGTTGCCTGGCACACCTGAGCCTGAGCCGGGTGGCACCTTCTGTCTCATTTCTGTTCTCAAAATGCCACTGTCTGCTATTTCCTGAAGCTTCAGTCCTTGCCTGTGGCCAAGTTCCCCAGTCCTGTGGCTTCTGCTCCCCTTCCTTCACCCCTCAGAGGAGACAGAACTTGTTCCAGATCCCGGGAGAGGGAATCAACACAGGCCCAGACAGTGGCATTTTCCTCCAAGAGCTTGGACTTCAGAAGCTGCCAAAAGTTGCTTCAAGTCCATCCTTTGCCACTTATTCAGTGTCCTTGTCTGTCACATGGAGAGGTTAGTAACATCTTCCTCAGAGTGTTGAGGAACAAATCGTTTTTGTAAAGTGTCTGGCAGCCAGAAAACACTCTGGAATAAGAGAGAGTTCCCTAAACCCCTCCTGCCAGGCTGCAGCCCAGAGAAACCAGAGCAGCTCATGCATTTTGGATTTCAAAGAACTAGGATAATTTTCACCGTCTTGCAAAAACCCTGAAAGTGAAGGCCTTCCAAACTGCCTGAATTCTCTCAGTGCTGTCGGAGTTTGGGATCAAAGGAATACCTTTGAATGAGGAAAACAATAGTTGATTGACTTGTTTTTCAATTTAAAAAATTGTAATAGACATTTAGGCTTACAGCATACACTTCAAATGGCATAAAGGAATAAACAATGAAGAGTAAGTCTCTCTCCCCCTTCCCCCTTGAGCAACCACTGGTATGAGTTTCTTTTCTTTAAAATTCTTTATTGTTTAAAGTATTACATATGTCCTCTTTTCCCCCATTGACCTCTCCCCGGCCACTCCCACCCCCCAGCACATGCCCTCACCCCTCTACTGTCTGTGTCCATGGGTTATGCTTATACGCATGCATGTAAGTCTTTTGGTTGATCTATTACCTCCCTCCCTGGTATGAGTTTCTTAAGTGTCCCCCGGAAATGTGGTGGTGGCGGGGGGCGTTCCCTTCTTCAGATATATCTTCATATCACTCCAAATCAAAATACACAAGGCTGTCTGTCTCAGTCTTGATAAAAGTTGCCCAGCATCGCACTGGGTGGCCTCATAAGAGGCATTCCAGACTCTGTATCTGACATTGCAGAGCAAAGTTTTGGGGGCAGATCTGTTAGTATTTTATGTTCCTGGAAGCGATGCAGCCAAGAAAGAGTTGGATCCATACTCCTTCCCCTCTGCTGTGTTCAGCTCCCCTCCCTGTCTCATGAACTGGTGCTAAATGGATTTTGCTAAAGTTGAAGAGCATTCACAACTTTAGGGGTGGGGGAGAAGCAAGAGAGCCTAGCCAGTTTGGCTCAGTGGATAGAGCATTGGCCCACAGACTGAAGAGTCCCGGGTTCGATTCTGGTCAAGGGCTCGTACCTCGGTTACAGGCTTGATCCCCGGCCCTGCTTGAGGCTCATGCAGGAGGAAACCAATTGATGTCTCTCTCTCACATGGATGTCTCTCTCTGTCTCTTTCCGTCCCTTCCGCTCTCTCTCAAAATCAATGGAAAAATATCCTCGGATGAGGATTAACAACAAAAAATAACAAGAGAGAGGCCCAAGGAGGATGACAGTCCCTTAACATCCACAGCCACGATTCTCCATGGAATTCATATCCACTTATGTGGAGATAAGACAAAGGAGTCTAGCCGGTGTGGCTCAATGGTTGAGTGTCGACCTATGAACAAGGAGGTCATGGTTTGATTCTTGGTCAGGGCACACGCCCAGGCTGCAGGAGTAGGGGATGTTCAGGAGGCCAATCACATCAATGTTTCTCTCTTTCTCTCCCTCTCCCCTCTTTCTCTGAAAAAAAGAAGAAGAAAACCCACACCAATAAATCAACCATTTATTCGTATGCATGTGTGCATGTGTGCATTAGGAGTCCCAGGGGACTGATGGGGGCAGGGTGGGGTTGTTTTGAGTGAGGAGGAGATGCTCACATTTTCAGCACTTAATTTATTTTAAAGTGACAAGGCGTCACTTTTGTAATAGTTAAGTAAAAATCAGGAGCCGTCCCTTATGGTCACAAGAGGGAGCTGTGTACCACCCCCATCTGCAGACCTGCCTACCTTTGATGAACAGGGAGACTCTTCAAGGTGTCACCTGGCCGGTACCTCGGTTGGTTAGATCTGTCAATGTTGCAGGTTCCATCTCTGGTCAGGGCACATCCAAGATGCAACCAATGAACACATAAATGGAACAACGAATCGTTTCTCTCTCTCTCTCTCTCTCTCTCTCTCTCTCTCAACAAACAAACAAATGATGTCACCTCAGTGGACCAAAATGGGAAAGTAACCTCACAGGGTGATCTGATCATAAATTTCTAACTGGGCAGGTCATGCTGGGTAGTCATGCCCTAGGCCTGTAACTTTAGTAAGTGGTTTCTAAGCGAGCCCTGTTCTTATGTTAACGATCTTTTAAAATGCCAGAAATAATACCCCTCAGAGGCATAACCACCCTCAAGAGAGCACATAATCTTGTTAACTACCCTGAAATTTGATGCCAGACCCTCCTTGCTTTCTTTCACCTTCAAGCAATCTTTCTAAATTCCCTTCTTAATTTCAAAAATATAAAAGAAACTGCAAACTGCTATTCTGGGGAGCATTTGAGATCTTCTTTCTCAGCAATTGTCATCGATTCTGGCTCGTATAAACTCTTATAGATATTCTTCACAGCTCTGGGCGTTTTACGGCGACACCTCCCAAAGCAGAAGAGACGGGGGCAGTGCAAGCTTACTGTCCCTTAGCTGCAGTCCTGAAATCCAAGAAAAATCCGGGAACCCATTTTTTCCTCATCTGGTGCCAATGCTTACTCTGAATTGAGGTGAAGCTTTTTATAGCTTTTGTCCCATTTACTGTGGGCATTCACACGGCGCACAGCAGAAATATGAATACTGTTTAAAAAAAGAAACAACGGGCCAAAATGGAGTCGCTTGTGCTAAGCCAGGTCACCAAACCAAAACTCAGTAACTAACCCAATCACAGTTTCAGCCTCTCCCAGGAGTGGGGTCTTAAGCAAATTAGTCTGTAATGTCCTGATCAACTCTAGTGAGGCAATCTGCCTGAGGAGACACCCCCCCCCCCCCCCCGACTTTCCCTAAGGCAGCGGTTCTCAACCTGTGGGTCGAGACCCCTTTGGGGGTCAAATGACCCTTTCAGAGGGGTCGCCTAAGACCATCGGAAAACACATATATAATTACATATTTTGTGATGAATCACTATGCTTTAATTATGTTCAATTTGTAACAATGAAATTGGGGGTCACCACAACATGAGGAACTGTATTAAAGGGTCACGGCATCAGGAAGGTTGAGAACCACTGCCCTAAGGGGGGGTGTCCTTGCCTGAAACAATCCATCCCAGCCTCCTTCTGCCTATAGGAACCTCCCATCTTGTACAGCTCATGGGAGCACCTCTAGTTGCTAGATGGGATGCTGCCCAGTTCATGAATCGCTTAATCAAGCCAATTAGATCTTCACATTTACTTGGTTGAATTTTTGTTCTTTCACAATACATCTGATCATGTAAGGTGGTCCCCGGCCCTACTGGGGGTCTTTAGGAATGTACATACCATAATACCTTTCTAAAATCAGGAAACTCCTGAATTACAGAATCATATCTGGCTCTGTGAGATGTGGTCAGAGATCATAGACCGACACTCCCATCAAATAGTGGCCCTTCAGCAACTTACACCCAGCCAGCTTTGACCTTGGTCATTGGGATTGTCACTTTAGTATCACTTTCTGCCCCTTCTCCCTTCTCCTATGCCCCGAGGAGCTTGACAGCCTCTTAGGTGTGCCTTAAAGTTCCAAGTCATGGCTTTGCGGGTTTAGGGACCAAGGATCCAGAAACTGATGACAAAAGGTTCCTCTAGTTGTGGACGAAAGGGGCCACATGCTAACTTGACAAGCTCAGGGGAGGCCTGCATGGCGGTCTTGCAAACTCAGAGACCTAAAGTAACCACAAAGGATGGTCTGAAATTAAACTTTAACTAAAGCAGTTATGGTGGGCAGTTACATCTTAGGCCGGTATCTTCACTGACAAGGTCAACTTTTACCTTAACTGAGCCTATCTGTCTTTCTGCACCTATGATAACATACCTTTGAAATGTCTGGGTAACTTGTAGCTTCCCTTTTTCTGGAGCCCCTGGGACACAACCAAATGTGCTGGGCGCCAGGACAGATACCACAAATTCCTTCACTATCATGTTAATTGATCCTGCACCCACCTAAGTATGTGTCCATCATTTTACTTTTTATCCAATCCCAGGGGTTTCCCTTGCTTTGCTTTATCCTTCCTCCTTAATCTATCACCAATGAATTTCATGTAACCCTCCTTTGATTGCAAATGTATAAATACAAATGTAACCCCGCCATTCTCCAGGGCATTATTTCAATTCCTTGAGGTTCTGCTTCCTGGCATATGTCGACAGTTTGGCTCAAATAAACTCACAAAAATTCTTTACAGGTTTCAATGGTTTTTTTTATGTTAACAGAGTCAAGGGAGAGGGGCTGTCTTGTTGCTGAAAGGAACCATCAGATGGTCACACAAGATCCTCATCCCATCACAGGCACAGGCAACCCAGGCCCACATCCTGGTCATTTCCAGCCCAGAGAGCAGCAACCGTGGGCCCGTGGCAGCTGCGGTACCAGCATAGTAGCCCCATGAACTATTTGGTGAATGGACAACTGGTCACCATTCTCAGCCAGGGCCTAAGGTGTGGCCTCAGCGACCTGAGTTGAAGCTGCCACACGCTGGCCTCATCCAGGTGAGCCAAAAGGGACTCAGAACCCACAAATCATTGGGCCAGAGAGCTCCTGCCTGAACCAGTGAAAGCATTGTTTTTGCAGGTCACCTTCGAGCCTTAACCAAGAGGCTTTGCTCTGTGTGTTACCTCTGTGGCCTTGGGCAAGACCGTCACCTCTCTCCGAGCACCGGTTTCCTTGGTGCAGGTCACATGTACCTCTCGGTCTGTGTGAGAGCTTGATACGGTGATACATGGAAAACACTTAGAATAGCGCCTCCACGCCTGGGTTGTCGTACATTAAAATCTCCTAGTACTTTCTGGGAATCTCCTTTGGACCAGTGGTCGGCAAACTGCAGCTTGCGAGCCACACGCGGCTCTTTGGCCCCCTGAGTGTGGCTCTTCCACAAAATACCACGTGCGGGTGCGCATGTACAGTGCGATTGAAACTTCGCACAGAAGTCGGTATTTTGTGGAAGAGCCACACTCAAGGGGCCAAAGAGCCGCATGTGGCTCGAGAGCCACAGTTTGCCGACCACAGCTTTGGACAAGCCACAAAGTTCCCTGGGAGGGCAATAGTCAGGGGCTCAAATGACACACACACAGGCAGCCCCATCACACCGATGTTTCTCGCATCAGTCCCTCCTGGTGTCACCTCTGCCCTGGGCAAAAAGCTCAGACTAGTGGCACATTGAGTCCTAACCACTGCTGGCCCCTCAGCCCCTTCAATACCTGCCCCAGGGCCCATCCTCAGCACCCGCAGGCCGACTCCAGGCCGTGGGAGCAGGGGCCCACTGGCATTGCCGGACTTTCCGTTGCTATTTCAGAAGCTGCTGGCAGTCCTTCAGGCAGGGCTGTGATGAATGACCCCTTTCTTCTTCCCAAGACCGTCATGAAAGGCACACACCAGCGCAGTGTGGCTTGGGGGGCAGCCAGCTGGCATAACCAGCAGGCCCTTCATAATCACAAAGGCGGGAAGTGGGGCACAGGGGGAGCTGTGCTTTTCCGCTTGGGAGTCTTCCTGGCACGGCGGAGCCTGAACTGCAGGGCCAAGGGAGACCCTTGAAAACTCACTTCATGCGTTTGTCACAAGTGACTCTTACATGCTTTGCTCATGACTTCCAGGCGATGCTTTCCGGTGACAGTGAGGGGAGGGGGGAACCAAGTCCTGCTGCAGACCCTGCCCACTGTCCCTCCCTGTGGCTCCTTGGCAGGTGATCCTGAGCTGCTATCAGCCCAGGAAGCAATTCCTGCACCCAGCAGGGCTACTGATCTGAGGCTCTGACCCAGGTCTGGGCCTCCCTGTGACCCCGAGGAAGCCACCTCTCACCACCCAGACCCACCAAGAACGACCTCTCCCAGAACTTCACTCAGCTCAGAACTTGTGTGGAGGTGGGAGATTGGAACAAGCAGATGTCTATCTACTTTCTTTTCTGTTTCACCAATTTGTGCTCTCTTCTGCATGGTTTCCTTCTATTTTTTTTCTAGGTTTGATTTACTATTTCTTTTCTAGCTTCTTAAAATGGAAGCTTAAATTAATGATTTTCAGCTTTTCTTCTTTTCTAATCTATGGATCGAGGCCTATACAATTCCCTCTGAATACTGCTTTAGCTGCAATCCCACAAGTTTGATATGTCACATTTTTATATCTTGTTTTAAAGACCCGTTTCATCCTTTTTTGATAAATTAAAATATTCAGACAGAGTCCCGAATTCCAAGTTAAACTATTAAGCTCATCTCACTTTATTTCCAGAATCACTTGGCTGTAGATTATCTGTAAAAAATTTGAAAGAGTGAAGAAGCCCCTGGGGATTTTAGGGTTCCCAAACGCAACAGAAGAGGGTCAAGGGGACCTTGCCCTTTGTTTTTGTGTGTGTGTGTTTTTTTAAAATATATTTTTATTGATTTCAGAGAGGAAGGGAGAGGGAGAGAGAGATAGAAACATCAATGATGAGAGAGAATCATTGATTGGCTGCCTCCTGCACGCCCACCACTGGGGACCGAGCCGGCAACCTGGACATGTGCCCTTGACTGATATTGAACCCGGGACCCTTCAGTCCACAGGCCGGCGCTCCATCCACTGAGCCAAATCAGCTAGGGCTTGCCCTTTGTTTTTGATAAACCACTTCAATTGAATAAAAGTTGTAAACATGAGAGAGAGAAACATTAATTGGTGGCCTCCTGTACAGGCCCCGACCCGGGATCGAACCCGCAGCCTAGCTATGTGCCCTGACTGGGAATGGAACCCACAACCTTTGGTGTACTGGACGATGGTTCAACCAACCGAGCCACACAGATCAGGGCAGAATAAGCCCGACTTTAAAACACACTTAACCCAGTTAACAGAAAACCTGCCCATGTCGCACATAATTAGGACCTTAGAAATAGTAAGTGTCTGCATGCTGTTGATCTAGACTTATTACGTTTATTTCATATCACTGTGATCATTTACAGCTGTTGAGACTGATTCTCGAGCACATGACTGTTCACAGAATTCACAGAATTCATCAGCTCACTGGTGTTTACATCCAAGGGTTCTCGTAGCACCACCACATAGGAGAGGCCCATGAGGTGCTTGTGTCTTATCATTTAGGACCCGAGTCTGGCTATTTAGGTAGATGTCTACAACATTATTGCTTCATTAGTCCTATTTTTAAAAAAGACTTTACTTTTTAAAAAATTATTGATTTCCGAGAGAGGAAGGGAGAGGGAGAGAGAGATAGAAACATCAATGATGAGAATCACTGATGGGGCATGTGCCTTGATGGGGAACTGAACTGTGACCTTCTGGTTCATAGGTCAACGCTCAACCATTGAGCCACATGGGCCAGACCATTAGACCTATTTTTTAAAATAAATTATTCCCAGAAACCCACCCTGCCAGGTGTGCTTCACACTGTGACCGAGTTCCCTCGTGGCACAGCTGACACGTGGGGCGGATGGAACCCCCACGGGAGAGGTGTGTTCTCTGCTGCTCCGAGGGCTGGCCGAGGCGGAACCATGTCCCTCTGCAGGTGCAAACATCTGCAGCTGCCCCTTCACAGCGGGGTCTTGCAGCTGACGGGCTGCACTCACATCGGGGCCTCTCTGTAAAACTTAAGACATAAACAAGAAGGGCTCGGCGAATGGGGACTAATGCTCCTAACACAGCCGCTGACCATGCAGGGGAGAACGCCTGAAGCAACAGCAATACCTCAAGTCTCAGCCTGTAAAACGTGTTTCAAAGAAAATGATGTCCTCAGTGATTGTGGCTCAAGGGGACCGCGTTGCGAATGAACCTGAAGACTTCTCGGGAGGTTTCCAGGCTGGGTTTTCTGATTTTGTTCCGTATGAGTTTCTATTTAGTGAAAAAACATCTTGGAGATTTCTTCGTAGCCCCCAGAGCTCTGTGGGTCTGACCGGGGCAGGGCACTGGCTTCCTCAGGGCTGCTGGCGCTCTGGCCGCGTTTGGGGCAGGATCCCTGAGAAGTGGTGGCTGCGTCAGATTTGGAGACAGGAGCGGATGCGGCGTGCGGATGGCAGGCTGCGCTCGGGGCCTCAGTCCAGCTTCTTGTTGTTGTCTGTACTGTGCACAGAAGCTAAAAAGTCGACGAGGAGCTTGGCTGTCTTCCTAGGCCTCTCCATCACCACAGAGTGCCCACAGTTTTCCAGAAGTTCCACCTGGCAGTTGGGGATAGACTTGGCCAGCATGTCTGCCCCGGACACATCGATCACCTGCAGGACAAGAACGGAAACTCGATGGAAAAGATTCAGACATCTGGGTGTACTCGGTGGACAGACTCCCACGGAGACTGCAGGGGTGGTTTTGGGGACCAAGCCGCTTAAGTGTTAGGGTTTGTGGCCTTCTGACACCGTGACTCATGGCTCCTGGTTTATTCTGCAACCCGGGGCCAGGAGTTGTGGTGCTGCCTGTGTCACTGAGGTGGAAACACAGTGCCTGCCCTTGAGGAGGTTGTGGACTGGTAGGGAAGGCAGGCAGGTGGGCAGACAAAGGCGATGTCACAGAGCGCTGATGGGGGAGGATCCTGGAAGCTGAGGGAGCACGAGGATGGGGGGCCATGGCAAGCACAGGGACGGCCAGTATCTACGGGCTGAGACACAGCATGCAGGGAGTGGGGAGAGCAGGAAGTGAGGGGGACACAGCTCACAGGGAATGGGGAGGGCCTCGTAGGGAAGTGCGATGGGGAGGGGCCCCACTCCTCCAACCATGTTAGGTGTCTGACCTTAATGTCAGGACAGTGGGGAGGCCCGAGGCTGTGTTAGGGACAGAGACATGGTCAGGCTGGGCTGAGAATGCACCCGAGGGCTGGATTAGGGTGGGTCAAGCGTGGGAAGGACACAGGGAAGATACCAGAGGAGAACACTAATTACCAATGATCACAACTGGGGAGCTCTCTCTGAAGGTCTTTTGGGGTCCCCAGCTGTGAATTATGAGCAATGCTTTTCCAATGTGAAAGCCACAGGGCTGACACTTTTCAACAACTTAGTTAGTTTCACTTCAGTTACCTGGGTTGCCTTGCTAGTATGCCAATCCAACTTACTTTTTCTCCCCAACGCCCTTGCTTGGTGACATATTTGCATTCATTCGCCTTCTCTCTCTCTTTTTAATCCTCACCCGTTTTTATTAATTTGAGAGAGAGAGGGAGGGAGGGAGAGAGAGAAACACTGATTGGTTGCCTCCCGTACACACCCGACCAAAAGCCAAGTATGTGCTCTGAGATCAGGAATCAAACCCAAAACCTTTTGGTGCTCCCCTTCTCATCACTTTCACCCTCAACTCATCCCAGACAAGAAGGCCCCTCCTCTCATCTTAACAGCAAAAGCAAAACCCCAACACACTTGAGTGCTGTCTGTTTTTGAGCTTCATTCTCATCACCCCACATCATGAAAATCAAGATTTCCCACCCATTTGGAAACGGGGCAAGCAGAATGCAGAGCACCCCTGGGCGGCAAAAAGAAACAGTGAATGGGAAGCTTAGCAAGAGAGGTGCACCCCCTGGAGAAACGGAACTCCTCTGCCTGTCACTCACTCATAGACAAGGTTGCTGTGGCAACCGTCTGAGCAGATAGAAAGCCTGGCTGCTGTGGAAATGCAGGTGGAGTCAACATGTCAAAGCATGAAAAAGCAGAAGCTCCCAATGGAGTCCCTGTCCTATAGGGAGATCAGAAACAGCTCACAGGCGAAAAGACCCACTTGAGCTCTGGCTTTGACCCTGCTATGCCGTTAAATGCAGCATTCCCATAGTCACCCACGTGAAACAGCTGGACGGGCCCTCACGAGGGATGCACGTCCGTGGGAACCATGTCAGCGATTTGTTGGCAGGACATACAGATAAATGGTGAATTTTCCTCCATCCCTACTAGGGTGAGGGAAGCAAGGCGCTTGCCTCTGGCACAAACATTTACGTGGGCGCCAAAAAAGTCGGTAATTAAGACGAATACTATTTTAATGCAATATGTAAAAAAAAATAAATAAATGTTAGTACAGAAAGATCCATGATGAACAAAATATCAAAATTATAAAGAGACAGGATCCGCCCCTGCATTACACGACACACCTCCGAGTTCCAGCCCTGCCCTGTGCTATAGTGGCAGGTCCACTGTAAGCTGCTGGAGGGCAGATCCTGTCTGTCTTGGTCCCTATGGTATCCCCAGGGTCTAATACAGTGTCAGGCGCATAGTAGGTGCTCAATAAATATCTGTTAGCTGACTTAAATGTGTAGGCAGTCATTTGGTGGGTTTGTCCCTTTGATAGTTTGTTCATTCGCTTTCTTGTTCACTCATTCTCTGTGTGCTCTGGGTCTCTGTGTGCCAGGCACTATGCTGGCAGGGAAAAGGGACCTAAAGAGAAATACACTTTGCTGATCTCCCCACAGCCCTCCCACTCTGTGGACTGAACAGAGGAGAAGTACTTGAATGAGCGAGTGCACAGAAATCCTCAGGAAGGTCTGCCAGGTTCCGTTGTGCAGGGTGTGTACTGCCCACATCCAGGGGGCATTGCTCACATCGACAGTGATGCACGTGGCTCCCCTGCAGTTGTGCAGTACAGCGCCCGCCTACACGGGTCCAAAGTGGGGGAGACTGAATTCAGGCTGGCAGGGGCATGTCTGTGACACCAAGTGATGACAGAGCAGGAAAAAAGCCAGACAGCTTGGGAAGCAAAAGGCTATGAAGCAAAAGGCCATGAATACCGGGCCCTAAAGTCTCTGCTACTTGGTCTCTGCCCTCAGGGTGGGCCAAAGCACACATAAGGGTCTGGTCATGTTTATAGCAGGCCCATGGGATGTCAGGCTCTTTTTCCAGAACCAAATGGACTTAAGAGCCCTGGAGGCAATTCTGGACCTTGGCAGAAGCCGGCTGTCAGAGGCAAAGGACACGAACAATGATTTGTTTCTGATAACTGGAGGAAGATCACCTCCATACACAGGTTTACCGTTGTGAGTACATGAAGTACAGTTTATTCTTATATTATTATTTATTAATTATATTATTTTCAAAAGTAGGTTTACAGTTGTGAGTATATGAGGTAGTTTATTCTTGTATTATTAATGATTAATTATTGTATTATTTTCCATAGGAACAACTGTAGCCCTACTTTGCCCCACCCTATCGTTGTCTCGCTGGAGCTTCACAATCACCCGGCAGAAGAGAAGCCTATGATTTAGAGCAGCTGACTGTCTTGCTCAAGGTCACAGGCTAATAAAGGGCAAAGGCAGGGCTGGACTCCAGACTTTCCGACTCCAAGGCCAGTGATCCAGTTTCTGCAGTGTCTCTGCAGGTTCTCTCCTCTCTCCCTGCTTGTCCCCGAGAACCCTGACCACCTTTGGGATTTTTAGAATGAAGAAAGGCCTCCATTGTTCTGACTCCGATTTCTGACTGAATGGCTCCCTGCTGGCCTAGCCCGAGCCTGCCTCTCGCACAGACACACACAAAGCTCCTTTCAGCGTCTGGGCTGCTGCAGAAGGGAGCACAGAGCCCGCCCCTCCCCACACCCTCATTCTGCGCTCTGCGTCCTGTGCATCCTCGGCCACACCTGGCTGACTTGAGGTAGCTGCTCTCTGCTGATGCCCTCGTCCCTCCCGTCCCTCCCTCACACGCTGTGGGCACGGCCTGGCTTCTCCTCCCGTCTCTTCCTGGGTCATCGCACACAGTTGCGAGCCTGTGCGGCTGCAGCCCGACTTCCTGCCTGTGCTTTCATCAGCTGACACCGTTGGGATGTGCCGCAGGCCAGCAGTGCTCACAATGGTGGCTTTCCCCTTGGGGTCCTCAGAGGATCAGTCTCAATGGGGACAGCTTTTCTCTAATATCCTTTGTTCACGGTATTCAACAGCCAAGACCCTCTAACAGGCACTGCACTGCTGTCTGCCTGTGGGCCTTGTGAGGACCCCATTTCTCACCATTTCTTGCTTTTCAAACTTTAGAGGAACTTTCAATAAGAGATGATTTCTAAAGAACAGTTGCAAACAAAAAAGGAGCTTCTGGGTATAAATCAGGATTTCTTTGAGGGTTTATTATGGGTTGGTTGTGCCTCCCCCAAATTCACATGTTGCAGTTCTAACCACCGGGACTGCAAAATGTGGCTTTATTTGGAAACGGGGTCACTGCAGATGTAATTAGTTAAGATGAGATCATACTGGAGCAGGGTGGGCCCAGAATTCAATATGACTGGCATCCTTAGAAAAGGGGGAAATTTAAACACAGAGGCACGCAGGGACGGGGGATGCCATGTGAAGATGAAGGGAGAGAGCTGGGCAAGGCATCTATAATAAGCCAAGGGACACCAAGATTGCCAGCAAAGCACCAGAAGCTGGGGCAGAGGCATGGGACAGACCGCCCTTCCCGTCTCGAAGAAGGAACCACCTGCTCACACCTTGGTTTCAGACTTCTAGTTTCCAGAACTGCGAGACAATCAATTTCTGTTGTTTAAGCCACCCAGTTTGTGATACAGTGGGGCCTTGACTTACGAGTGTCCCGACTAACGAGTTTTTCGAGATACGAGCCATCTCTCGGCCGATTTTTTGCTTTGAGTTGCGAGCTAAAATTCGGGTTACGAGCCAGCTTCAGATACCCCACCGCTAGTTGGCGCAGCGAACGTCACAGTGAACGCCACAACATCAGCCCAGCATCACGTGTCTCACTCGTTCACTTTTTGATTTGACATACGAGTAATTTGAGTTACGAGCTCCGTCACGGAACGAATTAAACTCGTAAGTCAAGGCCCCACTGTACTTTGTTGTGGCAGCCCTAGCAAACGAACCCAGAGCCATCTGACAAAACCTATTAAAATTAAAAAATGCACATGCCCTCTGACCCAGTGATTCTACATCTAAGAATTTACCCTTTAGATGTGCTCTCATGCTCCACAAACACAAGTATAATTATGCTCACTGAGGTATTGCTTAAAAGCAAAAAGCTGGAAATGACCTAAATGACCCTCAAAAGGGCACTAATTAAAAACATCATGCAGCTCTCAAAAAGAAGAAGGTGAAACACTGTTTTGGGCATGAATCACTCATGGAAACATAGAGGGAATGTGTGATGAGGAGCAGGATATCTGCACAGTCTCCAAGTGTCTTCCCACCGACTGCTTATTGGTTGCGAGGGGAGAAAGAGTAAATCTACAATGAAGAAATCAGACAACACCCTATTATGTATCTGAGGATGTGACATTTATAACTCATCAAATATTTTATCCAGGGAATGTAATATAACCTGCTTTTAATCATGAGGAAGCGGCAAATAAATTCAAATTGAGGAACATTTCATAAAATAACTGGCCTGTACTCTTAAATATCTCAGCGTCATGAATGACAAAGGCAGACTGAGGGATCCACAGAGACATGACCTGTAGTGGGTGACCCTGGAGTAAACCCTGGTTCAGGGGCCAGGAGGAGGACGAGGAGGCTTCTGTGTAGGACATTATTGAAACGACTGATGAAATTAGAATATGGATCGTAGATTAGATAAAAGCATCTCATCCACGTTAACTTTCCTGAATGTGATAATGTACTGTGCTTACATGAGAGAATACTCTTGTTCTCAGTAAATACACTCTGAGGTATTGGGGTTCAAGGGGCATAATTAAGCAACCTACTCCAAAGGGTCCAAACATATATACTTCCAGGTAGACAGGTGAGAATGATAAGCCAATGAGGCAAATGTAAAACACTAGTTATGAATAAAATGTGCTAACAGAACGATGGAATGACACTCAGCAATAAAAAGGGACGATTGGTATATGCAACAACATGGGTGAACCTCCAAAACATGCTTGAGTGCCCTGACTGGTTTGGCTCAGTGGATAGAACGTCAGCCTGTGGACTGAAGGGTCCCAGGTTCGATTCCAGTCAAGGGCATGTACCTTGGTTGTGGGCACATCCCCAGTAGCGGGTGTGCAGGAGGCAGCTGATCGATGTTTCTAACTCTCTATCCCTCTCCCTTCCTCTCTGTAAAAAATCAATAAAATATATTTTAAAAAAAACATGCTTGAGTGAAGAAGCCAGATGCAAAAGATTATTAATTATGATACCACTTATATGAAAATTCTAGATAAGGCAACACTATAGAGACAGAAACCAGATCAGTGGTTGCGGGGTCTGGGGTGATGAACTGCAGATGGTCAGGAGGGAATTCTGGGAGTGACCGAGTGTCCAACACCAAGGTGGATTTTACGGCATGTCAATCTACCTCCAGTAAAGCAGGTAAAAATTTGGGAATTTAGGTAAAGCATATACAGGAGTAGTCTGTACTATTCTTATAATTTCAAAATATTTTAAAAAATAAAATGAGTAGATCTGTATGGGCTGATATGAAATGATTTCTAAGATATATATTTCCTATAAATATGAAGGTACAAAACTGTGTATATAGCATGTTTAAAAAACTTATATATGTATGTAGCATGTCTGAAAAAGTACAAGTAAAACTTCTCTGTGGATATGTGTGCCTGCTAAGAACAGTAGGCGGACATTGGCTGCTGGCTTTGTCCATAAAGGCCCTGAGACTCTGCCTGCCATTGGGTTGGGTGTTGTCAGTGGCTGCGCTGACACCACGACAGCAGAGCTGAATGGCCCACAAAGTTGAACATTTTACTCTCTGGCTTTTTACAGAAAAGGTTTGCCAATCTCTAGGAAATTGAAGAAATATACTCAGGACAGTAAGTGTTGCCTCAAGGAAATGGAAATTGGGATCTGGGATTTTCATTTTTAATCTTTTTATATTCTCTGAAGTTGTTGTTGTTTTAATATGTTTTTATTGATCTTTTTAGAGAGAGAGCATGGGAGAAGGATACAGAGATAGAAATATCAATGAGACCCCCACTGGGGATGGAGCTGCAACCTAGGCATGTGCCCTAACCAGGAACTGAACCAGCGACCTCTTGGCTCCTGGGTTGATGCTCAACTGCTGAGCCACACCACCAGGCATTCTCTGAAGTTTTTATACTCTATGGCTTTGATAAAAATAATGTGTAAAAATGATTTATAATTGCCTTTCATTTTAAAGGACCAATGTTGTTGCTCTCAACTCACAGCACGATGCTGCCACCAACAATGGCACTGACCCAGGGGAGTCCCTCTCTTCCTGGTCTCAGACACCAGCCCACCAGCTGGTTTTACCAATGGCCTCCCGCTCTTCCTCAGAGGCCGGGGTACCTGGCACAGGTGGCCCCAGGGACACGCTACATACCTGGTCTTGTTTCCCCCAGATGATCTGCGTGGGGGCCTTGATCTTGTCCATGTTCTGATGGAGGGAGTATCTCGACTTCTCATTGATGATTTCCAAAAACACTTTTTAGAAAAGGAAAACAAAGTGAACGAATGCTGGGCTGTGCCCTGGGCACCCCCGTACAGCATAGGACAGTCATTGGGGTCAAGCCACCACTTTCTCTCTCAGGGGCTCAAGAAAACAGACTCCGAATGTAAGAAATAAAAGCCAGCCACCCATGAAGCTTCTCTTGTCCCAGCTCAAAGCTCAAAGCAGGCTACTCACGCTTCCGGTAGAAGTTGTTATGAGGGATGCGGACGTCGACAAGGCCTTGCAGGATCTAAGGACAAATAATCCACAGTTAGAAGGCAGGAGAAGATTCACGTCCTCAGGCTCCTCACGGCGCTGGGACAATGAAGGAAATAAAAGTCCAGACATTCATGGCATTGTCAAGGTTTTCAAGGCCTGGTACCCCGAATTCCCATGATATAGGACAATATGATGTAATTGCTCACTAATATCCAAATGCAGAATAAGGTCTATTTAGAAAATTCAACTATTGTGGATGGTGAGTCTCTTAAACAATAAAGAATTTAACTATTGCCCTAGCCGGTTTGGCTGAGTGGACAGAACATCGACCTGTGGACTGAAAGGTTCTGGGTTTGATTCTGGTGAAGGGCGCGTACCTTGTCAACTATTGTGGATGGTGAGTCTCTTAAACAATAAAGAATTTAACTATTGCCCTAGCCAGTTTGGCTCAGTGGACAGAACATCGACCTGTGAACTGAAAGGTTCCGGGTTTGATTGCGGTGAAGGGCGCGTACCTTGGTTGCAGGTTCCCCGGCCCTGGTTGGGGTGCATGCAGGAGACAACCAATCGATGTGTCTCTCTCTGTCTCTCCCTCTCCCTTCCACTCTCTCTAAAAATCAATGGAAAAATATCCTTGGGTGAGGATTAACAAAGAACAAAAAAAACACAGGAAGGAAGGGAGGGAGGGAAGGAGG